TCTGTGCAATTACCTTTACACCAATAAAAGCATTTGCATTACTTTTGGTTTTGTATTATCTAGCAGAACAAGATTTAGAACAGGCAATTTAATACAATAACACCTGAAGTCTTAAGTGACTGACTGAAAAAAACCTTATATGAAAGAAGTATAACTAACTGCCCACTACTCTGTTAAGTTTTAGTAGTTTACATTACTTTCCCATGGGATTTTTTCAGTCATTTATAGTTCATTGCTTCATATGGCTATAGAATCCCTGCTGTGTTAAAAAATGCCAAGTAAAATTATATCTCATTCACTGCTTTATGCTATACCTTCTTTTGTTCAGATCCAATTAGTGAAAGCTTGTTCTTCATTTATCATACTTTTAGCTGATTACATTAGGCATTACAATAGTTCTCTAGCTTTCCTTGACAATGTTTGCACCATCAGTGTTACATTTATGGTTGAGGAGGCTCTTTCATCTTAACCCTCTATTCCAATCAGTTCAGGGGGAAAGAGTACATAGGATTACTCTTGTTCAGCTGAAACTTCTTTGCTTGTTTTCTCATATCAAAAATAATTCCACCAGATGTTTTAATTAAAAAAACAATCCAAATTCTATTGGTCCTTCCCCACTTCACCTAAGTGTAAAGAATGTTTTGAAAGTTGAACACTGAAGTTAACAAAACCCAGCATTTTGAACAGTATACAACTTTTTTCCTCTACTTTCCCCAAAATAACAAATGTAATAAAAAAGTATTGGCCAGGATTTTCAAGACCCTAAAAGCATCCATTATGACCTACTTTTTTTCAAAACATTCAGTACCACGTGAGCAACTGTATGCTCCATGGGGGTCTCAGCAGCCATTTTGTCAGGTTGTTTTCCCCAACCACCACAATTATTTTTACATCAGGACAATTGCTAAAGCAGCAGCTTCTCTTCCACAGCACAAATAACTTTAGACGTAACTTTTTTTCCCAGTTCACACATGCTCTCACCTCCACAAAGATAAATGCAATTCAATCCCATTTAATACCATTTCCAGCTATCTGCAATTTTGCATTAATACAGATGCATCCAAAAGTCTCTGAAGTCACCCATCTCCTTTTAAGTTTTGTTAATGCTCTCTTCACTATCACTGTAAAAATTTTAATCCATAAAAATTTTTCAGATCTTTGGCCATTTTTTTAAATTAAGAGCACAAGCAGTTTGTTCTTTGTATTTTCCCTCTTCAGGTAAGCTTTATTTGGCTCTTGGCAGGTTGTTCAATTTTTGCAACATTCCCAGTTTATAACAGTCCTCTCTGCTGCTTCCTGATCATAATGGTAAAGTTTTAATTCCTTGAAATGAAAATTCCTTTATGCTCTGATAGTCTAGTGGCCAGTTTTATCTATTAATGATAAGTATGTCAAAATTAATATTGCTCTAACAGCATATTCAAAACATTTGCCCTGGTGCTCTACAGAAACTAAGTCTAAAGACCAAGAGAAAGCCATTTCATGGAAAGTTTATATGTATTTCAGCTATTCCCAGCACCTCTATTCAGCACCGTAAACTCCACAAGGATTTCAGATAATTTTAAAATTTTTTAAAAAATGAAAGAAAAGTTGAATATTCACCAAAAAAACCACACCAAAATGAAGCTCTAGGATAAGATTACTCACTAGCGAGTCTTACACTACCTGCATTCAAAGACGATTATTTTAAGACTGTATACCATTCCTATCCAAACACCAGTGAAAATGCCTGCTTGAGTCATTTATGCATATCACTGGATAGGGAATAAATTAGAAGCTATTACTAAAGATATCACTGAATTGCTAGAAACCTTGGGACAGTTTTCTTTCTCCCCTTAAATATTTAGTGAACGCACTGAAGGAATTCTGCCTCACTTCAATTTCAGTTCTGTTTTCAACCAATATGACAGAAAGCCAGAGAGATGGAACAGACAGACTGGATCGCCCTCTTTTACAGTTATTTTTGTAACAATGAATTCATATTAAGAGTATCAGGCTACCCATTTCTCAGCAAGTAGCTATAGAGATGATGTAATCTATATAGCTACAGGCAATGTAATAAGGGGCCATTAGTACACCTCAAAGGTTACTCCACATTCTAAACAGAAAATTTATCTACTCCAATTAGTGCTATTTCTAAACACATTAATAAAAAAAATATTTTTGTAAACCATCCCTACCTGCTTTAGTCACCTAAAACCACATGCCACTGGATGGACAACTAGTTCAACTGCATGCCTTGACATTTATTTCTGCCTTTGGTTCAATGACCATCATCATCAGGGTAGCTGCCTATCATATTTGATGTCTTTGCAATACAAGTCATGAAGGAGTGAGAGATGCTCTGTCAAGCAGAAAATCAAAAGAATATTAACAACTCTTGCAGCATCCCACTGCTAAACAAACAGGCTTCTCCTAGCTCCTTGAGGACAGAGGTTCCTTTGGTAGGTTGCATCAGCTCCCAGGTTTGATTTCAGAGTGTCTGGGATTTCACTATGACTGGTACAACTGAGAAGGCAGCTGTTGATGGATCCTGAACACAATTATGGGCAATTATGGTTGGATACTTTATGGTAAGCAACAGAGTCAAAGAATTTGGCCTCTGGGCTCATCTATCAAGATCATCCAAACTGGCAATCACACACATCACTGCAACGGGCCACGCCATTCCCACAATGAATAACTGGAGGTATCCAAGTCATTAAGACAGGCAACATCAGCTAAACTATTTCCAGTGCAAGCACACAACACAGTGATTAAAGGATGTATGGTAGACATAAACGATGTGTATAATTAGACCAAAAAACTAGCTTAGACTTAATACCACTTCCTTATTTTAAACCTACAGAAGAGTATTTCAAGTAGCCTGCCTCTCATTTTCTTTAAATACTTGGAGCTTCAATGCACATAGCTACTGCTTAACCTTGCACAGATCAGTTTGATCAGTCCATAAGCAGGGATCTAAAGAGCTAAGCAAACACTGTCAGCCTTACAGCATTTATTAGTCCCGTCTCTTGTTCATGAACTCAGAATGTCAGCATCCCATTTAGCACACTTCATGTTATCTTTATGAACTGCCATAAGTATATTAATGCATTTCTGAGATACCAGCTTGGATTTCCTTTCTCTCGTGAACTATTACAAATTAAAGATCCTATCTGTCTTTTAAAGCTAAGACAGCACTGTAGATCGAAGCAACACAGACACATTTTCAAATTCCTCTTTATAATGCACTATTTGTACTCCCTTCCCTAAGGTCATGAGTTATACTTTTTCATGTCATTATACTTTTTCATGTCATTCTTAACTCCCTCATTATGTTCTTCAATCTTTGTTTTCACTTACTGCTTTCAGATTTTTTTCATAGTCTCCAGATCGTAGAGTCCACACAATAAACAGACACGCTGGAGAGAAGACCAATTCATTTTCTCAAGTCTATTATGGACTGGTGAAAGAACATGTTTTCTTTTTTTAAACAGCTTTTTAAGTCTATTTTCAGGATGAATTCACCCCAGTGAACAAGGCTATGCAGTGCTGCTAAACAGTCAATCCATTTATCCTAACAGCAGATATCATATATATAAGACGGAATTCAAGCATCCATCAGCATGCTTCGGTTTTACTAGAGGAATCATAGGTCATACACAGTAGTTTGTATTCATATTCACATAACCCTTGGTTTCCAAAAGAAACAGAATTTATCATGATGTCTGACATCTCCCCATTAAGAATTTCATTTCAGTCCTCTGAGCACTCACAGGCTACTACACTCTACCAGTTACGGCTACCAGTTGAAATCCAGACCAAGTATACTTTCCATTCACCTCAAACAAATGAATTACTTGGCATAAAAATCCTTCAGTAGAGCATTCCAGAAAGTCCCATTTCAGTCCCTTGCTCTATCTACATATGAACTGAGCTTGTCATGTAGTATTAGAACCACAAAGGAACTCTGACAAAAACACTGTCAAAGTCCAGAACTCCCAACAGTTCTCACCTTTCACTTAACTCTGAAAACACCTAAGTTCTAACTACTTTCAGATTTCATCAACCATGCTTCAGTTCTTCCAAAGTTGAGTAACTCAACATCTATATTCACAAGTCCTGTCCTGCATACAATACACAATTTTTTTCCCTGATATCTTGTCTGAGTGACTTCTTTTATTAAATCATAACAGGGTTTTCACTCCCTTCCAGATTTCAACAAACTATCCTGGGACATGGGATTATCCCTAGCCATTTCTCCTGTAGCAGTTCTACTGTAGTAGTGTGTTCTCTTAGTCAACAAGGATATGCAAGTATGACTACACTTGCTGTTATATCACAGAAGAAATTATCCCCCTATTTTTCCCATGAATGACTTCAATTATTTCTAAAATAGAGACTATGAGGACCTGAAAATGGGCAAGTAGCTAGACAAGTACCTTACTTGTCCAGAAAGTCATTTTACCACCTTCCTGCCATGCTGCTGAATATTCAAGGCACCTCAATATCCAAATCAAATGGAACAGCTCCAGTAGGCCTGTTCAGCACACCTGGTAGGAGAGGGCACTTCTCTGGGAAGGGGGAAGCAATGAGCTGGATTTACCAGGCACAGGAAAAATTTATACTAAGCTCTACACCATCTCCTAAGATCCACTTTTCACTGCCTTTTTTGTGTACATTAGCAAAACATAATTTAAGTGTCACTGCCACTCACACTAGGTGCACATATCTGTGTGCACATGTATCTAGCTTAATCCACACAAAGAGGAAGGTAACATTTACACAAGCAAAACATAGAAGAGTTCACAGAAAAGATATGCTAAATACTTGTCTAATTCTCCCTCCAACTTGGTATCTCCACTCCGTTCAAGCACACAGAGGAAAAGGACATACAGAAAGATACTTCAGAATTGCCAATATGCTTACCACAATAATTAACAAACCTGTATAAAAGCGGCAAGTCTTGCAGAATTACTAAGAACCCCATTTACCATTTGAATTCAAGTAGTACTTACAGCGTTGGCATCCACATCACTGTGTATGGCAACAGTTTTAATCCCCATCTTCTTACACGTTTTGATGACCTACCATATAAGAAGTGACAATTATGAATATTTAAAATACCGATAATGTAAGAATTAACTACAAAAAAAGAAAAAATTAAAAGACTACATACTTACTCGGCATGCAATCTCTCCTCTGTTGGCAATAAGGAGTTTTTCAAAAGTCTGAAGGGAAAAGAACAATAAGAATCTTGAGATATGAACAGAACACAAGTTTTTCTCCCTCCAGAAACATGTATTCTTTTCTCCTCCACTTCCACTAAAACCATGGTTTATCCATGAGCTTGTAATTCTGAGATCACCTACTTTTGAAAGAGTTCTGCTGATTTAACGGTGATGATATAACAAACAGTATGCTTTACTAGATCTACCTAGCACACACACAGGTTTAGAAGAAAAAAGTTTTGACTATTCACACCAGCATTCTTTGGCTCTCCTTACCAGGCACTGTGCAGAAACTAGAACCCTACAGCAGCAGCTCTAGGAACCAGTCAAGTCCAGGGAAGAGGTGCCAGCAGGTATGCTGCCTCGCATCAGCACAGGTACATACTGGCAGTATGCAGATACGGTGCTGACAGGTACAGTGGTCAGTGCCCCTAATCAGTATAGATGACCTGGAATACAATACTCATCTGTTATGGGAGAACTTTAAAAGACATTCCAATCATAAGGAAGAGAGAATTCTCTCTACCTAGGGCATGGGGGGGTAAAAGACCAACACTTCCATGCTGTCCAGGCACTCCTGCTGAGTTATACCAGCTAGCCCCTACTCGTATGTGAGCCTCAGGTGAGGAACCCGGCAAAATCTTTCATTGCCATCATGACACTGTGTGGTGGGGAAAAAAAGTGCTTTTTCCCCCTGGAGTTAAAAAAAATGGTAACCCCCGAGGGGGTGGTGTCTCTCTTGGTGTTAACCCAATCAGCGCTCCTGCAAAATTAAAACACATCACATCAAACCAGAAAAGAAGGGTGATGTTGTAGTTGAAGATGAGAGTGGCCATGTTCTGAAGCCACGAGGAGAAGAGGCAGGAGCCCCGTTGGGGGCTGGGCCCCCCCAGCCCCCGGCTGAGGGGCTACAAGAACTTGGAACAGCGTTAAACTGGGCCGAATTCCGTAGCAGAGAGCTGGAGGAGTTTCTCCTCTGTGAGCAGCAGCAGGAGATGCTGAAAAGCAGCGGCAGAGCAGCAGCAAACGGAGAACAGTGGCAGAAAACTGAGAGATAAGAAGAAACAGCAGAGGCAGTTTGCAGCCAAGCAGGAAGACAGAGAGATCTCTAATGGGGGGGGGGGGGGGATGGAAGAGGCGAGAGAGAGAGAGAGAGAGAGAGAGAGAGAGAGAGAAACTAAGCTCTACGGACAGACTTTTGGGGTAAGAACTGAACCAAGAAACCCCCAAAACCCCTTCTGAGACACCTCCTAGAGAGGAGGGGTGGTGGACTCCCATTTGAGGGGAGTCTTGGAATGCAGCAGTACCAGCGAGAGGAGCTAAGAAGCTCAGATGTCCCGGAGCTGGACCGGGACAGCCAGAAGGAATGTGGGGGAAGTGGCCTGCCTCCCCCCTGCTGCTGCTGCCAGGCTGGCAGCCTGAGACAGAGCACAGGAGCTCTGGTAGAACTCTTGAGGTAAAGGCTTGCAACTGAAAGCTGCCCGAGATGTTGTGTCTCAGAGGTAAACCCCCTGAGGAAAGGGACCGTCACGAAGATCCCTGAACTTCGTGATATGACGTGGTGAAGAGAGCCTTTTTGTCCTGGTTACCGCAGTCCACGGGAGAGAGAGACCTTCGCTTGGAGTCGAAGGGCCGAGATGAGACCCCCCTTGTGTATAATGGAAAGAGATCCAGCTACAGCTGCTGCATGGAAGAAGAGACACTGCTGTTCTGAGAGTGGAAAGGATCTTTTCCTTCTTCCCTTCTGGACTTTTATTGGAGGGAGAAGAGATTTGATCCAATGTAAATACTGATTTATCACAGGAAAGATAGTTAAGATTATGTAGATGATGTATTATAATATTTATTTGTATAGTGATTGTAATATAATTCCCTTCCCCTATATTGTCTTGTGCTGTGTCTGGAAAACCCCATCTCACACTAGGGTGAGTTGTGTGAGGGGGGCTTGGACTCAGGAATTGGATTTTGGGGGTCTCAAACTACCAGACACTGTTACACACTCAATACACAGTGCAACAGAACAGCAAATCAAACTTAGTACGCCACTGAAATTCACTGTCACCTTTCACACTGGAGTGCACTTAGTGCTTCAATACTTCTGTCATGGCTGTAAGAAGGGGATAACAAGCTGTCAGAAGTCAGTAAGCCTCAAACCCCAAGCAAAACCTTCCCATTAAGAAAAGAGTGGTGCAAGAGCATAGCTGCTCAGCATAAAAATCTCGTTGCTGGGAGTAAAAATTATTCTTGTCACAGACCTTGCTACTAAATACACAGGTGCAGTTTGATACTGCACTTGCTTTGTTGTAAATACAGACTGCCACTGAAAGGGACAGTCCTGCTTTACACACTTATCCCCACTGCTTTCCATGCACCAGACCTAGCAGGGATCCAGCTCCAGGACAGGGCACCAGTTTAACCAGTAATCGAACTGTCTTACTCTGTTTCCCATGCTCTAAATAAAAACAGGACAGGGAACCAGCAGGACCTCTCCCTTTCAGGGGCAACCTGCAATCATACCACATCAGGTTGATCCAACTATACCCTAAGACATTCAACAGCTATTCTCCCCCTCTACACCAAACAGCTGGTTTTCATATGGACTTGGGGGGAAGGAAGTATTGCCGCTGTAACAATTAAACTGTTTGTTAGCCTCACAGTCATTAGTTAATCTGGGGAGGGGAAGATAGGTGTTAGAGGAGAGGAAGGAACACCACAAAACTCCAACAGGAAGTGCTATTGACAAACTAGAATACATACTGTTTGTTCCCCTACTCCAAACAGACAAACTCAAGGTGCCCTTAACCAAATTTACTTTTTCAAAGTCAGGGCTGAGCTGACATCACATGACCAGTTTAAAAATACTACCACATGATAACACCATAAAGAAATTAAGTGACAAGAAACCCTCCAGGTAAGAGCTGCACAGCAAGCTTATACAGCAAATTCAGCCAGATCTGCTGAATAACACTGCCCAGGACACAGGCACACCACACTCAAAAGATGATCTTAAACGCTCTTAAGCAAGCTCAATTATCAGAGGTACAAATACTTTAAGAACACCACAGGAGCCAGCAATTTGTTTGGAGAGGTTTTTTTAGCTGGAGATCTGATCTAAAAAAGATATCAATTGTTCCTGAATCTAAATTTCAACATTCTAGGTACCTAAAGATTTTTAGGCACACAGACTTGAGGGGGAATTAAAAAAATACTTCCAAATACCTGGCATTGAAAAGTTTAATGAATCGAATACTCCATTCAACTTACTTCTTGGTATGTAAAAGTTGTTTTATTAATCAGCTGAGGTCACAGTACAAGACAAGACTTTCAGTATCAAGATGTTAAGAATATTTGACATTCATTTTAATTTTCCAATTCTACAATAAAGACACTGAGAGACTGGTCTCTTGCTCCTGCTGTTAGAGGCTAGTCTCAAGTCCAGCACAATAAGAAAAAATTAAAAACCACACACTGCTTTGAAGTAACATTTTTTAATGTCATTTCCACTAATTAGCCTGAAAAGGTTTCACATGAAAGTCTCATCATTACAAAAACATTAGAAGGGGTAGTGAATGAAAAAAGCAGAAAAGAGCTTAAACCATCCGTAGTAGCCACTGGTTGAAACAACAGCTCCTATTTGAGAGAAACCAAATACCCAATTACATTATCTAAACATAACTATGCATTTAGAAAAGGAAGGAGACCTGATTAAGCAAGGACTTTAAAGAAAAAATAAATTTTCTGAAGAAATCTGTAAAGCCATACTGTTTTTCCCTGTTTCCTAGTACTATCTTACTCATGGTTAATTGCTTCTACACTTGTATATAAAGGGCTTCTACACTGGTAGAATATCAGTCCTGAATTGCTATCATCTTTGCCCTTGAATACTAGCTTACCTTCAGTCACATTAGTGCGTTACTTTGTAGGCCATGCCAAGACAATCTTCTATAAGGAAAGTTTTTCTTGGCTCATAACTGTAAATTGAGATTGCTGCTGCACAAGACCCAAGATGAGGATTTGCTATTCTCTGCAGGCCTTAAAGGCCCATCTTTATCCAAGCTCTGAAGTTCCCACCCTCACGCCAGATCATCTAACAAATCATGCTGCCACTATTACATACTTCTGTTTCCACAAAAAGCTTTTGGCTAGTCTAGCTCCCAGATGTTTTAACAGGCCCATTACCACCCACAACTATGCAAAACATTAACAGTTGTTTCATAATAATAACATGTTCAGGCCAGTATGCAACTTTTCCAAGCTCACAATCACTTATTCAACCTTTTGGTATACACTTGAAGTAGTATCCAATCTTGACAAGCATCCCACAAAAGTAACTTCCCTTTTGGTTTAAAAAAAAGGGAAGAAAAACATGCTATTAAACCAGTGACAGGTTATACCAGAACTACCGTTGTTAGTAGCAGCACCAGGGAGAGGATAGCTTAAACCAACTGCCAGCAGTACAGTAAAATGTCAAAGAGAAAACATGCACCATATTACTTACCTTTTCATTCGGATCATACACAGACGAATACAGTTTATGTGAAGTTATAAGGCACCATCTTGAACACAGCGTTTCACACTACAGAAGAAAGAGGGAGTTAAACCATTTTCTCCTGTTACCGTATGCCATTAAAAACATTTCACACACTGACATCCTGAGGAAACTTCCATATCCCTTTCACTCTCTCATCAAGTGGATGAAAGCTCATACAGAACTGCCCTTCCCCAAGCACACACCCACAAACAGTAACCAGAAACAATTCAGAAATTCTAGATATGAAGTCATTAGCTTAGGTATAAGCAGAGCCACACTTGATCACCCACTTGGAATCAAAAAGACTGCAAAATCCTTAACACTAAATATCGTCTAGCAGGAAGCATGAAACAGTAGTGACTGGCGACTGCCAGAACTCAGAATCTGTCAATTCTATCTGAACGAACTGTTTTCAAGAGCTGCAGAAATCTAAGTAGTAGAAAGTAAAGGCTCTCCTGCGAGAAGGTTCTCCTGTATTTTTGGGGAAAACAATATGAATATGGACTACATTAGAAGACCAAAAAATAAGGAACCATAGGTTCGCATAAGGAGGTTAAGTAGAGAATTCACTTGCACCTTCCACAAGGGTAGTGAACTTGAGATAATTGAAAAATTGTTAAAATTTTAAGTTTCCTGAAAGCTTATACTGATCTGGAAGTAACAGTGGCTGGCAGCAACTGGAATGAGCACACTCCCTACACAGCCCTCTGGTCTGATCAAGTTTGAAAATAATTCTCATGTTGCATCACAGAAAGCAGAAAACAGCCCAGGACTGAGAAGGCCATCATATTTGTAATGCAGCTGATACTATAATCTTATAAAGGAAAAAAATATTTCAATAAAAGTACTGTAATACAGAACTAAAGGAAGCCTTAAAGCATACCATCTCATGCCAGCTCCAACCAAACCTCATGAGCAGAAAGCTACTATAGTTTCACAAACCATTTAGATGCCATTCACTAGTGGCAGACATAGCATACATTGTTCCCATTTAATCCAGCTGTGCTTAAACCTTCCAGAATGATTCATGTATATTAATTATTCTGACACTAGAAAAAGTCAATTGAAAGCAACCGTTCCACCCTGTTTCACATGCTGGGCTCTTTCCCCTTCACTTTTTGTTTCACTGAGGGTTTTTTGCTTCTTTCATTTTTCTCACTTTACTCCTCAAAAATAAAATCCAGAGCAAACTGAAATGCAAATCATTTGATATACTAGAATCAGAACAACCAGAGGTTGGGAGTTTTTGGGGGGTTTTGTTTGTTTGTTTGTTTTTTGCAGGGATATATTACTCCTACCTGAGGATGTAACAGTACAAGCCTTTTCAGGCATTAAAGGGATGCAGTTAAGGACAGAATTCTTGCAGTTGCAATCACACCTACCAGCTGGTCCTTATTGCAAGTTTACAGAGCGACTGTAACATCTTCAGTGATTGTATTCTGCTCTAGATACTGTCAGAGGAAGGATAGCTACAGCAGTAGCAGCAGAGTACACTCTCCTGCTCCAGAGTACACAGAGTCAAGCAGATTGAGTTCCTCTCCTCTGAAACACTATTGACAGAAGTGCTTGAGGGACAGCAAATAGTCTACAGAAGGTCATACAGGACACACACAAAAAGTCTCCACCGAGTTAATATTATTCATTGGAGAAAGTGCTTGTTAAGGGTCAGTGAGGCTAATCTAAATACTTGCAGTTAGCAGGGCAAAAGGGGACAACCAAGCAAGGGAGAAAAAGCTTCTGAACTTTCTTGTAAACACCTTTTATAAAAAAATGGGTTTGAATGCTTATGAGAAACCAGAAGAGCTATGCACAGATGGAGACTGGAAGAAAAGGCTATGATGGGAAAAATCAGTTAGCATTAGGTTGTAGAATCTTAGCCATCTTGAAAAAAGCCTTGTTCAAACTTTTTATACAGAAACAGTAAAGTCGCCAAGCAATTAAAAAAAAATGGAAAAACTTTAAAAAACACTCAACTCTGTTTTTACACTACAGAATTGGACAGATTTCACATAAAAATCTTGCAATAGCCTAACCTAATTACGTACCTATGTTTAAAAATTTAGCTGCCTCCTCTCACACACACACACAAATCACGTAAAAAAAACAGGTTCAGCCCTGAATCGGATACATGTGGGGTAACTTCCTAAAACAAATCAAACATATTGCTCAACTCAGATGGGAAGTTCCAACTCTAATTCACAGCTTTGGAAAGAAGAGGTTCTGTATGTATCTGTACCAATATACACTAAGGTTTAAGAGCTTGCTTAATCTAGAATCCACTTCAAGAAAAGTCTCTGTAGAGGTCTGCTCCCAGACACTATGAGCAATTGAATAATTACTTAAAAATAAACAAGCATATTGTAAATAATTCACGTCTAAGGCCACAAAGGAACACTGCTAAATTGCCATCTCCAAATCCACAGCTATTCAGGTGTCATCACCTACTCCATGTTCCAAAGTTCCTGCCATAGGTAGGTTCATTAAAAGCTACACTGAAACCCCCAAAGAACTCTCAAACCACCAACCCAGCAAAACCAATCTAACCCTCAACCTACATCCTTAATTGGCTGCCTCCACAAAACCACACATGCCCTAGGTATTATACCCTACTTAGAGATTTCCTCAGAATACTGCAAAGAGAGCTCAGCTTGATCTAGTGACTTTTTTGTACCCTGCAAAACTAGGAGAGGGCAGTAGAGTCATCAGGTATAACCTATTTTTGTCATGACTTGTTACTTCAATTTGATAAAACTTTTGACTCTTGAAAGCCCAAGAATGCAGACTATTAATTTATGAGAGCTCAACTCTGAACTTCTGCATTTGGCTTGGAGTTTCCCACCTCTAATGAATCTTCAGAAAATGGTGTTAGCACTATATTATAGAAAAGCATCTTGCTTTATCTATTAATGGTGCAATAGCCAAACTGAGCTGAAACCTAAACAGCTGTAACAGTTACAGAATAACTTCATATAAAAAAATTCAAACTACACAGTAACTTGTAGAACAGTATGCCCATCGCACACTGCCACTTTGAGACCTCACAGAGAACCTGCCTCCCCTCAGGGACCCAGTGCAGCCCTAGGAAACCTCTTCAGGTGGTTTAAGGACACAGCATACAACAGCAAAATAGATCATTAACTCGTTTTTCAGATATGGTTTACCCGTGTGTTTTTAAAGGTTTACATGCCCTCATTGAGGAAGGAAATTTCCTCGCCATACTGGTCAGCTTGTAAATAACTCATTGATACTGAGCTTTACAGGCAGAAAAAGGTCTCAGTGTTGAAACAGAGGTACAGAATTCCAGATTTCAGACAGGAAAAGCATCATATATCAACATTTGCTCTAAGTCTAGTATGGGAAGGAATGTATATTTTAGAATTACTAGAAAATACAGTAAGCAATACCGAATAGTAACAGCCAAACTAGCACACCTATTTTCACTAGACTTAAATTCGACTTTCTTCCATTAAGGTTTTTGCCCCTACATTTTCAGAGATTCAGGTTTCAGATACTATGAGAATAACCCCCTTATCTTCGTGGTGTATCTACTCGTAACCATCAGTATTCACGAGCAGTTATAAACATGAAGACAATGGGGGCTTTTTCACATTTTGATTATACAGCAAATGTTCCCAAATCTTTTTTATTTCAACTCATTTGACATCGTAATTCCCTGTTTATGGAACTTTACTGATAGAGTCTGTATAAAGCACATAGGAAGCAGGCACCTTCAGGTGGCTGCAAGACTTTCAATTCATAAGGTAGAAAACGCAGCTTCCTAGTACAATATTGTACGAATCTTGTAAATGGTAAAGCAAACATAATGCTTCTGTTCTTTTCTCTAAGGAAGCGCTTTCCTTTCCTTTGTACTCCCAGAGTCTTGGAGAGCCAAGCACTTGTAACTGTAAGCAGATCCCCCTGAAGCCAACTGCAAACACAGATGTAGGTTCTGTAAAGCACGCTGCACTACACATAAGAGCTCTTTCCCTCTGACCGGGTTTGAGAAACATTCATAATTCTAAGAACAGAAAATCTGGTTTTCGTATTTGCCAACACAGCACACAAACTACAAACAAAGACACACTCATCCATCTAAGGCTGTTTCTTTAAAGTCGGTCATTCTTATGCCCATGCAGCTTCTCCTCTGTGCCAGTCCCTGGAGTTCATATAGTCACATAGTGAACCAGACATGGGAATACAACCACCTGAGAAGATATTCAAAAGGAGTGTGGAAAAATATGTTCTCAGGCAGACTTTAGTCCAGCTTATCCAAGATATTTACACAGCAGTGCTGGCACAAGTTGGAGGGAGACAGGAGCTCAAAAGGAGCAGCCTGTGATCAAGACCTAGCAGCTGCAGAAAGTTGGAACAGTTTCTCATGCAGCAGCTTAAACAGCTCTAGGAAGGCTGGCTAGCACCTGTGAAACAGATCATGGCAGTGTAACAATCAATGCAAGTTTGGGGCAGGCAAAATAACGAAATAATTAAAGCACAAAGTGTTTCAGAACAAGAGTGCCATTTTTTACTCAGTGTAGACTTTAATGATCTCAACTTTTTGTCCTTTCAGAATTAACTTTTGCCCATAGGACATGGCACAGCATGCTTTCCCTACAAATTCCAAAAAGCTACTCCTGGAAGCAGGAAGAAAACTAGAAATCTCTACCTGCATTACGCTTTGATAGTGCTTGTCAGCACTAAAATCTGTAGTTTACATACTAGAAACAATCACTGAACTCCAGAAGTCTATGGCTACATTCATCTCCCCAGACTGGTGATCATGTGAACTCCCTTCCCTAATGACAAATGATACCAATCTTGCATCCCATCAGCCTGATGCTTCTGTTCTCAAACAACGGGGAAAATTTTTCCCTGGAATAACAGCATGCTAAAAACAATATCAGAAGAGAGCAAGGAGCTCCTACTGTACAGATAACTTCCATGACTTAAACGCTGGGTGCACAGATGGCAGAGAAACTTTCCATACATTTAGTTCAGTGATTAGAAAACTGATCTACGCTGATGAAATCTATATCAGCAGTTTACCC